AAGAGCCTTCAGAAAATCTAAAAACACGTATTCCCGGGAGAGGGGGTTGGGGGAGAGGGGGGAGGCATCATCGAAACCATTAACATTTACGGGAAATTCTATGTGAGCAACTCTGTTAAACAAAAAGCAGTAAATACATCAAGCAATCCGATTTGTAAACCTTTAAATGCATGGAAAAATTCTTCTTCTTGCATTTATAGAAGCAAAATCATTAATTAATCTTTTGTGATCAATATTTTCTAGTGTTGGTTCCAAAACAGAAAAGATAATAGGTTTTAATCCAAAAACGTTTGCAAGAATAAAATAGCAGAAAGTAAAAACGCCAAGAACACGAGAATTTTTCGCCACTAGAGTCTAGATGTTCAGCCAAAGGTCTAATCACCACCTTGGGCATAACAAAGAATATATACAAATTTGGGGCACAATCCGCGGTTTACTTGATCTGGGTGAAGAGGGTTTGGATCGTAGACCCCAAGACTATTCGCTGTAAGGTGGACACCTGAGTATAAAAAAAAAAAAAAGAATATATACAAATATATGAAGAAATCAAAAGTTTCTTCACTTTACCTTTTCTCTGTCTATATTATAACATACTATACTCCTTACAATCTCTGAAATTGTACACTAAATTCAACCAAGAATCCTTCACTAAAAAGAATGGAGATTGAATCACGGAGAAGAAGTACAGAAAACTAAAGAGAAAACCCTAAACCAAAAATGTACAAATCCACACTAAATCAACACCCAAATGAACGCGTTTTGGGGAGTTAAAAGGTTGGCCAAGAATTACTCAGATCCAACAATTGTGAAGCGGTCACATCACGTGTAGGGCAAGATCTCATCATTAAAGAGAGGCAAAATCACATTTGTAAGATGCGTTTTATCACGGAAAATGCTCCTTTGCCAGTGGCTAACGGGGGGTTTGACACCTTTCACAATCGCCAAGGCCCGCATGGATAAACAATTGGGAGGAAGAAGTGATCCCACCCCCAAATGTGTGTGTAGATCAGCCCTTCTGTCATGTATTTTCCGACAAAGGAGTATGGTCCATTTATCACAACTCGAAAGTCTAGTTCTAGCAACCCAATTCCAAATATGATAGCCCAATGCTAATAATAGTGCGGCAGCCAACTTCAACATCTAGCAAATCATGTTTAATAAACATTAAAGCCAACCCATTCTGTCTTTCTTGTGAAATGATTGTTCACAAGTAAGATGTCAATAATTTCAATTTTGAGAAATTCTTTTGGTAAATACAATTGTAACAATATTTTATAAAAATGTAAATGTGTTTGGAAAATAATTCAATCTTTAATAAAATAAAATAAAAATCAATATGTCAATAGTTGTCTTTGTTTCTTTTGGTAAAAGATTTTGCATAACTTTTTAAAAACTTCTATTTCTTGAAACAAATCTTGGCCATCAAGACATCACATAAAATTCCATGCTTAGAACAATCACAACATGATAACTACATTTTTTTCAAATTACCATCATCCGTTGAATTTAACTTATCAAAAGAAAAGAGAAACCCAGCTTCTTTTTCATATGCGTTGTATTGATCAAACATTCTTTCTAGTGATCTAATTCCTAGTCTACTATATAAAGGAAATAATTAGTTCTAAAACAATCTTGTGATGATTGTGTCCTCCACATTGTCATTTTTATCCAAATATTTCTTACTACGCATTATACGTTTTACTTGAAATATACAATCAATTTTCATTTTAATAGCATTTTCATTAGTAATATTTATGGCATTATTGGATCCAGTTTCCACATATTTTTTAATATATATTTATAATGAAGGGAAAAAATCATATCTCATGAAGGCGTAATGCATGACAATGTGTGAATGTCAAACTATGGGCTAGGCGAGTTTAGGTGAAGTATTGGTGTAAAAATGCATACTCTTATTTTAATATTATTTTAATTTTTAATCAATCGAAAAATCGTTTAATAATTAAAAATAATACCTGTTAAACATCTAAAACAAATTTATAGGAAATTTATACATTTTTTTTCAAAGTTTTTAACAAAAAGATAAGTTCTAAATGTAAATATTAAATAGTAAATAAATGAAAATTTTTGGGAAAGTTCTTTTGTTCAAGGTTTCAAACGACTATTTTAAATTTAGAATCAACGAAATGAAGAAATCAACATTTAAGTTTTAATTTAGAAGAATTGTTAAAAAAAATAAAAAAAATAAAAGAGATAATTATGTGCGCCTAGGCTCACATTAACAGTCAACGATTGCTATTAACCACTAAATAAGGCTCCAAACCACTTGATTTGGCATTTCAGCTACGCAATAGCGACACCTAGGTGCCGCCAATGTGCGCCTTTTAGAACAGTGCTTGTGACATGTGAATGATGACCTGTGAATTATAATATGTGATCAATTAATATTGATTTGAACATAAATCAGTGAGCTTGGTATGTAAACATTGATAAGTGACTTGTAACAACTGAACAAAGACATGTTATCAATTCACATGTCATAGATTATTGTTCACAAATTATATATTATTTATTGGTCACAGATTAACCCAATTTACTGGTTACAAACTTTATGTATACAATCCCAACCTAATCCAAACCTAGCACTACCAACCACCACCACCACCACTAGAACTACCACCCTCATCGCCAACACTATCACAGTACATCGAATTAGAAAATCAACTAAAAAACCATCAGCAAACCACACCACAGTCACTACCACTACCACTACCACCAAGACTTGTGAACACTGACAAAATGAGTAGAGTGATAGAAATGAAGTCAACAAACTGAGCAAAGTGCAAAAAGAAATCCCACCACAACCTATGACAACTTCTGATGGAGAGAGAGAAATGGAATAATGAAGAAGAAAAAATGGGTAGATAGAGCCTTGAATTTTTTTTTTTTTTTTTTGTTTAATCTTAGCCCAATTATTTGTATCAATACATAATACCCATTATCCAAATTCTTCCTATTCTTATTCACATATAAACCCCTATTCTCGTTTCTTTGCCTTTACAAAATCAATTGAAATAATTCCCAAAAATCAAAACCCCTAAATCATTTCCCCTTGCCCTTGCCGTATCCGTCGAACAGGACCACCGACTGCCAACTCGCCGCCCGACTGTCGAGTGCCGACTTGGGCTAGCTTAGGGTAAGTAATTAACTAATTAGAATATGAAAATATTTCGATATCTTTTCAGTTAATTATAATTGGTTTGTATTATGTATATGATAAATCAGAAATACTAGGTAGAAGAACTAAGAAGCCAACTTGTATCTGTGAATTTTGAGGATTTGAAATTTTGTTCGAGTCTTCGAGATCTTGGAATTTAATTTGTAGCTTTCTGCCCTGAGCCCTCTCTTATGAGTTAGGGTTACAATCACATGTTAATATCAATTAGGAAGCATTTGTTGCTCCCTTTTTCACTTGTAACTTGTTTCAATTCTTTTTTATCTTATAGTATATAGCATTTAGTTGGCAGTTGGAAATTGGTAAGGGTTTGTTCAAGTGTTTTTACTTTTTAAGGCTTTAAGTTCTTTGATTGTTGGGCAAACCCTCAAGAAAATTGTCAACGGTGTGTTGGGATCGAGAAAATTGAAATTTGCCACGTACTTGTATTGTGAAGCAGGAAAAGGAAATCCTTGTCATTTCTAATATTTACCCTTCCTGCTGTCAAATTGAACTTGCCTCATAATCTTAGCCAAAGGCAAAACAGAAACCTCGCAACCTAGTCTTCACTTACTTTTTGGCTATGCTTAAAATGTTTACTTATAAGTAAATAAGTAATTGTTAATATGAATGTCTACTTATAGAGCATTAGTAATTCTTAGTTTTTTGGGATTTTTTTATTTTTTATTTTTTTGGTTTAACTGTAGGTGAAGCATTTTGATTCTTTGAAATACTGTGCTATTTGCTAAGAAGAGAGTCCAAAGGCTACTGAACTAATTGAGGAGGTTCATGGTTGGTTCTCTGAAAAATCTCATTTCATAGCAAACAGTAAATTGGTTTTATGGTTATGGTTTTATCAATTTATATTTATGCCTTTATGGGATATTGAAGCATTTTGATTCTTATGCTTCTAGATTTAATATGAAAAAATAACAAATCTCAAGATCTCCAAATCCTACAATACCCATTCCTCCAATTTCATCCCTTAAAGTTGAAAGGCCTTCATATTCTAATCTTAATTTGGAACCATCTGATTCTATTGAATGGGACCCTAGAAAAGAAAGCAAATATGTGAACATCCATTTAATGAACGCGATCAGATTAGGCGGGCTTATCTAAATGTTGAACATTGTCAACCAAAACTTTTGGAGCATCAGAGCAAATAATGTGGAAATCAGAAACGTCGATTTCAGTAACGTTGGTACAATCAGTTTCCTTGGTTGGAATATTCTCCTTTAACACATAAGGCATATCGTTTTTACTGCTTCCTTTTTCTCAATGATAGTACTCTGCCTAATATTTCATCGTTGGTTACTGTTGGATTTGATAGTTGGAAGATGGTTAACCAAGGAAGTAAATGTGCCTTTCTTATTCATGTTGGTACAACATCTTCATCGTTTCATAATGGCTGTAAGAGAAGAGTTGAAGATCTAATGAAACCAACTCAACATATTGACAAAGTAAAGCATTTTGTATCAAATGAGGATAAATAGAAAAATCATTTGCATCTAAAGACCACTATTATGAGTGTTAAGTGGTTAGCACTCCAAGGTTGTTCCTTTAGAGGCCATGATGAATCTCCATCTTCACTGAATCATGGAAATTTTATTGAATTGGTAGATGCATTTGAAAAAATGAACATTGAAGTAGGAAAAGTTGTGTTGGGTAATGCTTCCAAAAATGCTACATACATGTCTCCAGACTTTTAAAAAGAAATTTTGAGCATTATGGCTAATAGAGTACGACAAAGAATTCGTACCGAAATTGAGGATACAAAGTTTAGTATTCTTGTTGATGAAGCACAAGATGAACCTCACGAGAACAAATGGCCATTATCCTGAGGTTTGTGAACAGTGATGGAATTTTGACAGAACGTTTTTTTGCAATTAAAATTGTTAGTGACATTACCTTATTAAATCTTAAGAATCAGATTTCTGATGTTCTTGTTCGTTTCAACCTTCAAATGCAAAACATGAGAGGCCAATGGTATGATGGTGCTAATAATATACGTGGTTCTTAGAATAGGCTACAGACATTATTTCTTAAAGATTGTCCATATGCATACTACGTCCATTGTTTTGCCCACCGTTTACAACTCACATTGATTTATGCAACTAGGGATGTCACAGATATTAATTCATTTTTTTCTCATTTGGACAATGTTATTAATATGATTACATTATCTGCTAAGCGCATCAATGAGTTGAAAAGTGCCCCAAAAAAATTAAGCATTTGTTGGAAATTAGAGAACGAGAGTCAGGAAGTCGTGCTAATCAGATTGTTAATTTGCAAGAAGTCAGAGGTATCCGTTGGTCTTCTCATTACAGCTCTGTAAAGAGTTTGATTGTTATATATGCTGCAACTTGCAAGGTGCTTGAGTATCTTAGTGATCATTCTCCAAATACAAGATCTCGATCCAAAGTTAGTGTATACAAAACCATGTAAACATTTGAATTTGTATTATCATGCTAAAAATGCATAGAATATTAGCAATTGCGGATGTGCTTTGTAAGGCCCTTCAAAAGAAAATTCAAGACATCTTAACTGCTATGAAATTTGTCCATACTACAAAAACTATCCTTCAAACATTGAGGGGAGATGGTTGGGAAGAATTTCATGAAGAGGTGAAATGTTTTTGCTCAAAAAATGATATACATGTACCTGACTTTAATGGTTCATATATGGTTGGTCGTTCTCGCGATCGTGAGTATCATACCATTGAACATCATTACCACTTTGATATATTCAATACAACCATTGATTTTCAGATAATGGAGTTAGATACAAGATTTAATGAGACATCATTAGAACTCCTTTCTCTCAGTACGGCTTTGGATCCAAAAAATTCTTTTGAATCATTTAACATGAATAATATTTGCAAACTTGCAGAGAAGTTTTATCCTGAAAATTTTACACAACAAGATATTTATTATTTGAAAGTTGAGTAGCAACATTATCAAAATGATGTTATTTCTTAACCTTGATTCCAAGTATCTACACTCTCTGATTTATGTCAGGAATTGGTTGCAAGCAGAAGGTCGAAGAGTTATGTTATTTTGACCAAATTGATTTTTTTAGTACTGACACCTCCTGTTTCGACGATGACCGTGGAGCAAGCATTTTCAACAATAAAACATGTGAAGATGGAAATTCGTAACAAAATGGATGTTAATTTTCTTGCTGATTGTTTAACACTAAACATGAAACGAGAATTTAGTATGAATTTAGATATAAATTCTATTATAGATGAATTTTATACTGTAAAACATCATCGGGTACAATTAAAATAGGTAACTTAAATTGTGAATTTTTCTTATTATATATAAATTTTATTCGTACATTAAATTTTTAAAAATTTTTGCCCCTCGTATCATTGATTTCTGGCTCCGCCCCCATGGATGAGAGTGATGGTAATGGCAATAAGATATCCCAAGTTGGGTGAATATTAAAGGCTACTTGGTAGACTCGATAATAAGTTTTCTCTTCTTCTGAATATTCATATTGCCCTCTGATTTATAGGAGGACTTGTGAAGGTGTTTTGTTCCTCAAATAATTGAACACATGGACACCAGATGGACTGATGAGTCATAGTTTTGAAATCTAGGAAGACTTGGCCAACTTTGGATGGAGTGACCATAGCCATTTGAGAGAATGCTATTTTTATCATAGGTGGTAAGACCTGGTCTTACTCTCAGCTCATAACTCATTCGAAAAAGATAGAAGGAGTTGAACTGACTTGAGAAGCATATCATTTAGACTCCAAGTGGTACCGTGTGATGGTTAGGACATAAAGCAAGATCGATAAGGGGTCAACAATCAAAGTGATACACACACATGAGTTAGGGTTAGAGAACACCCAATATACATGAATTGGGTCAAGAGCCCAATGGAAAATTTTAGATCACCTATAGATTTAAATATGGGAAAAAATCACATTTCAGGTGTTATTTTCACCCCAATTCAAAAATCAGGTAAATAGTTCGAAAATTCAAAAATCAGGTATTTATTTAATTAATTAAAAATATTTATTAAATAAAGATAATAAAGTAATAGTTACATGATTAATGGTCACAGATTCATAATCATAGGTCACATATTGTTAAATTAATTGATCACGGATAATTGCGTGGTCACAAATCAAAAATTTTGTAGGTCACATATTATTTCGAGGCACGGATCATTCAAATTACAGGCTATATTTTATCTATGGGTCACATAAGTTACAATTTACTAGTCACAAATTATTTTTTAGTCACAGATACCTAATATTTAGTCACAAATCAGCTAAATAGTTAGTCACGGACGCCTAATTGTTGGTCATAGACACCCCACCCGTCACCGTCATCGCCACCACAACAACCACCATCACCATCATCGACAACAACACAACAATAGTTGGGCACCACCGCCTCCAGAACCACCATCACCTCACCAACATGAGCATCACTGCCTCCTGCAACGACCATCATGAGCACCACGATGCCGTAACACCACCACCGCACAACGCACCACCCACAGCACACCACTGCCACCATTTCCTTTATCTCCATTTACACCATACCTAACCACCACCCCCACCAAAGAATCCACAAACCCGCCACAACCACCTAAAAAACGCAACAAAATATGCCGAAAAATCACACCACCACCATCAAATTCAACAACCACCATAGCTGCTACCACCAAACCTCCACCATACAAACACCATCACCACCACCATACAAAGAAACATCCAAACCCCACCTAAACGCTAGCCGCCACCAAAAATACACCGCCACCATTACCACACAAGACACTGTCCAAATTTTCAAATTTGCCTCTTCATTACAGCCACCAACACAAATTCGCTTCTTCGTTATAGCAACTCCTCAAAGTAGGTGAAACTACTTCGCCTCTTCATTTCACCATTGTAACTCTCTGGAGTGGGTTGATCTACATCGCGATAGATCTACTTCGCCTCTTCATTACGGCAGCATCGCAATGCTGCAACAGCTGCTGCTTAAGTGATACCTACAGGTGCTCTGGTGGAGAGAAAGACATGAGAGGGAAAGGAAGATACGAACATGAAAAGAAGATGGGGAGTCAGATTGAGAATAGATTATTACAGTTTAAAAATGGCTTGAATTATGATCGTCTCGTGTCGGCACTCAGAGTCGGAAGTGTCTCTAGTGGCGGTCGCTCCTTGATGGCGACAGCAGTCGAAGGATAGGGTAGAGAGAGAGAGAGACGGCATATGATAAGGGAAGAAAATGGGGGAAATGATTAGGGTTTTAATTGAATTGGATGGATTAATTATGCCCCCTTTTTGCCCCCACTATTTGGATTTATAATGGGGAGAATAGTGTTTTTTTTTTTTAAAAAAAATTGATAGTTGTAAAAGAATGAGAATTTTTTGATTTGCGTGTAATGTTATTTTATTGAATATTGTGTGGTTGAAAATATGAGAGAAAAAAATTAAATTAAATTGAAGAGTTTTAATGAGGGGCTATATATAATACCTGATTTTTGCATAAGTAACTTCATCTGCTGAATTTTGAATTTGAAAGTTTAAATACTTGATTTTATGTAATTTCCTCTTTAAATATTTGGGTTGGACAATAATAATCTTTCATATCTTAAATTTTGTGTCCTTTAACTTTAAATCTATTACTTAAATCAAATAAATATAAATATATGAATATAACACATTATACGGGTATAGTGCCCCTAATCATGAGCCTCTATGCGATTACACCTCGCAGGGCCGCCCCTGATTTTAAACAATTTTTCTTGTCTTCCTTGTATACGTGGGATGATTGAATAGAAGCACACTAGAAATTGCATGATTATCGGATACATTTATTCTGGATTTTGGTCCCATTCTTTGCCAGCATCAAACAGCATCCCAGGTTCATAAAAGTGCAAGGGATGCATGTGATCATGATAATAATTTTGATAAATTTATACATTACAAGGAAGAAAATTCACTATACATATGCAATTGTATATAGTCACTCTATTTTAAAAGTAAAATATAAAACAAGCTATGCTTCTTGCAAATATATTTTAGTGGCTCAGCACATTCAAAACAAGCTATGCTTCTCGCAAAATATATGAAACCTAATTATAGTATTCACTTTTCTCCTAAAACTATGAATTGATCTTCTCGATAAGGTCATGGGGCTAGGAGAAGGGAGCAATGACTGTCATGTATGAGGTAACCTTATAATTTACTAGTATAAGGAATATTAAAACGAGCATCTTGTTCAAAATAGAGAGAAAGACGTCAAATGTAAACATATTATAATCATTTTTGTTTTAGTAAAAAAAAAAATATATATATATTCCCCACAATGCCGGTGAATGTAATTCTCGCAATGAAAGTGAACCATTTTTTAAGTGTTGTTTACTTACTTTTAACTTTTATTTAACAATATATTGCTCGTTCAAGATTAGGCGTTTCATTCGTGACAATCCCGAGTTCAACAATTATATTGCAACTTTTTTGTAATTAATTTTTTTGAATAAATTTTTTTAAAAAATGGTAATTCGTTAGCCACCATTACAATGGTCATTTATATCATTTCACTTTAGACAATTGCACCTTCATATTAACCTTTTGAAGTGGAAATAGTCATTTTCATCTAATTCTATCAATTTCTTCCATCGAATAAGCTTGTGATTTCCACGACAAAATTTATATGAACAAAAATGCCAGTCTACTTAAACCTTATCAATTAAATGATAAGGGTTAAGTGGACTATCGTTTCTACCGTTCTAAATTGTGTCATTTTGCAATATATGCACCTATTTAACTGAAGCAATGGATGGAATCATATGAAAAGGATCATTTTCACAATACAATGTTGACACAAGGGTGCAACTATTAAAATTGAAATGATAGTGATGATTATTGCAAGGGTGACAAACAATAATGACGTTAATGCCAGCTATTCTTTAAAAAAGTATATTCGTATACATTGTTTCATAAAACACACATCTTGAATTATTCATCTCAAATTTGAGCAATTCGATCTACCTTAACAACTCTAGGCTCAATCAAACCAAATGGGTCAATCTCTTTCTATTCATATATTAGTTTCAAGTTGTCGTTATAGTGTCCATTCAAATAGGACACAAGAACGTGCGTATGATGGCAATCACTTGTATTGATAATGATTTAGATTAGGGAAGAAAGGCATGACAAATGCCTAATCATAATAAAGAAACAAACAATCCTAGAAATTGATGGGGTTTTCATGATAAGCTGTCTTTTCTAGACTTCATTTTACCCAGCATAAAACAATACTATTGATTATTTTAATCACTTATGTTTTCAATGTGGCTTTACCATACGCATATTCTTTCATCATGCTCCAAAATATATGTTTAATTTTAATGCTCCAATAGTTCATTCTTCAATCTTAGGATACTCTATTTACAGGATTGAAATTTCTATTAATAAATTTTTAATACGTATATTTCATTTTTGGATGTGTGATTAAATCTTTAATTAAATAATTTAAAAGTAAATTTAATTTATTAGGACAAATGAACATACAATAAAAAGTGTTGTTTGAGCTAAGAGGAGATATCGCACAAGTTTGAGCAAGCGTTAAGCAACGAACTAAGCATTTGAAGGCGTCGGGAAAAAATAATGGTATTCTATACATAAAATCAATATATTACAGTAATGTTTAACTAGATAGGAAAAATATTTTAGTGAGACAGTCCTAGAGGCACACGTGATAGGATCGTCCACTCAAAATTCGATGTGTAGTAATTTGAGAGATTTAGAGTCCAATATGTCATTTGATTAAATGTCCTACCATTATGCATACACATTGGACTGTCACGCCAAAATATTTCTCGCTATAATGAAACATTATGAATATATGTGTATTTAAATACTCCCAAAGCGTGACAACCTACATCAAGAGTTGTGTCGACAAATTCTTAATTGGAGTGC